GGTCTAGAGAGCAAATTAAAAAATAGAACAACAGAACCAAAGAGTAACTTTATTCTCTTATTCAAAGTTTATTAAAATACAAGAACAAATTGTAAAAGCACAGGTACCACTCAGCACCAGTATAATAACTCTCTTTCTACTGATAATCTCCAGAGCATTTCTGTTTCTGCAACTGAGAAGCAGAGATCTACACACGTGCATACTCACCACATGCACCCCCAGTACTCCTAAATCATGCCCGGAATAGTCTCCTTGCCAGGGAGACAAAGATGGGCAGAAGTAATCTAATGTGACTACATCCAACCACTAACTGAGTCGCGGACTCTTTTGTCAGTGGTTATCATTCGCACACTGGAAAACTCTGCCCAGTGCCATCTCCCTCTTCGGGTGCCCGATTATTTGGGCTAGTGATAGAGTCTGGTGGCAATGTGGTGCAAAACTAAACAAAACTGGCCAACATTCCCTACCCAATATCTTTTCATTGCTTTGGTTATGAAGTCCTGGATACTCATGTCTTCACATCCTCCAGTCCTAAAACACATAAAAACTACACGGACCAGTGACATGGTCTGGACAAGTCTTGAGAGAATTTCACTTGTTTCCCACCCCGCTCTCTGGGCTTCTTTCACTTATGTGTTTACCTGTTTGCTTTGGCAGGGGAAAGGGTATTTAGAGCCAAAACAGTGACTTCATTAAACAGCTCCTGGGTCTCTGAAGTCTCCTTAGTAAATATTAAACCCTTGCGGCTCTGGGGCTGCTGCCCAAGACAGGCAGCAAGCCCCAACCTATGGGAAAATATCTGCATGTGTTTGCTTTCTATTGGTTCAGACTCACGCTGGAACAGAGCTGGGTCTCTCGAGTCTGGGGCCTTGCTTTGGGTCTCTCTCAAACATAAGGCATTAGAAGTGGCCCAGTGTTCGGCTTACCCAAATGTCACTAGTGATATCAGGAGGTCTCCTCCAATGGTAAGACGTTTCTTTAGAAACCTTCCTAAGCCGAGCCTTCAGGGCCCAGTTCTTCACAGTTACTAACTCTCCCAAGCCCCATCATCTCCTTTCATCACTGACCTCAAGACACTACCACGAGAGTGCCATCACCACACTACTGGTGTGCAGGCCCCATTCTGGACATACGTACAAAGACTGGGTTTGGCTTCTATTTTTAAGATAAAGGTGGAAGTAGGGAGAAGTTTGAAATATAAATAAAAACATTTTAGCTCTGTTTTTTGGTAATATCTTTTTTTTTTAATTTCTTGGAATTAAAATCCCCATTGTTAATCTCCATTGCCAAGAGACATGCCATCAGGCATAATCTGAAAAGCTCTAAATGCTGTTAAAAGTTTTCATTAATCCTTCATTGTAACAGAAGTTGCTGTCTACGGTTTCCCCTTTGTAATGGCCTGTGATTCTCTTTAAGCTTATTCTCCTACCCACAAGCCAGAGGTCAGATGGACTATGTCTTCAGGTTCATCCTCATGTAATCTATGGTATGGGAAGTCCTGTGCATCAGTGCATACCTCTTGCTGTGGACAGAGCCCGCAGGACATGCTAAGGGTACCTTTTATCTAGCTGGGAATTCCCCCAAAGGCATATATACTGTCTTTAACCTGCCCCTCTGGTATTTTATGCAGTAAGATAGTACCCATGCATGACCTCACCATACTACATAATTTTTATTCAAGAGCCCAAATAGTGAAATACACTCAGGCAAAATGGAAGACAGCAGGCTCTTCCTCTCTCCTTGATCACAGACCAGGCATTAACTGGTTAATGACAGAATTTAACTAAATCAGTAGGTCATTTAGAACTTCATATTACCAAAAACCCGAGGTACATTCTATAGACAAAGCAAAGACATAGAACCAGCAGATCCAAAACATGAATAAAAAAATCATAAGTTAAATGACTGTCACTTTAGCTACATAAAGCGAATCTGCCTCTAAAGAGGTCAGTTACACTTTTATGTCTGTATCAAACACTTCTATATTACTATTTCTATATTAATGGGCATTTCATTTCATGCCCAATCAAGAAACTCACTGTTGATTCCACTAATATTTTCTCTAAGCAATAAAATAAAATAAGTTTTGAGCAGTAAGTCTTTCAAACACTAAATGTTTGAGTAAATCGAGATTCTATGATAATATCTAAAAGTTCTTGGAAACTGTTTCAATAACAGACAAGCTAACTCAGTTTAAAGGCTAAACTGATTGCTCCATGTAAACATAGCCTATGGGGAGAAACTGTTTAGGTACTAAGAAAAAGAACTCAAACTTTCATCTATATGAACTACAGTTCTTCAGAGAACATACTTTATAAAAGACTGGGTAGGTGGGGTGGGTATTGACAATTTAATAATATCTCTGAGCATATCAGCTAAACATTGATTCTCCTCTATTGCAAATGAGTTCTTGTTTAGTTCCTAAAAAAATACACCATAGGAAATCATAAAAGTTTATGTTGAGACAAATAGTCCACATAATTACAGGCTTATCATAACTCTGATAACACCAAGCCTTTCTACATAGTGTTAGGATTCCTGAGCTTTGTCAATTCTCTTTCTCCATTGGCCCCCATGGCCTTTATTCCAGTAACTCTTCTATGTTCTATTGAACATATCTTTTTCCCTGATATTCAGCCTATGCCTTTATATGTTTACTTCTGCTTCATTTCTCCATAGGACTATCCTCACAGAGAGGAACTGCTCACACACAATCTTCTCTTTCTTTAAAAAAAAATGTATCACAAAAGGGTGATGTTTCCATCATCCTTTTTCCCAAACAACCAGCACTACCTCAGCCAAATCTCATCCTCCCACCAGTTTCTCCGACATCCTGTTCCATTACTGTACACAGAACAAAGGGGGAGTTTAAGGACAACAGTGTGAGAATGCTGCCACCGATTTCTCATTTTACTTCTCTAGGGTACCACATAAATCTCAACACCATTTGGAAAATAACAATCAGTGGGCCCACTGATAAGCTGGAATATAGAATTTAACAACTGGGGACTATGAAATAATTTGTTCTCAATGTGATTTTCCAGAAATTTGTTAGATAACATCATATTTTCAAAATTTACTTTTTTTTGTGGGGGAAGCAGTATATTTTATATAATTTAAGACACTGGAAAGTTTAAATGTTGCAGCAAATAAATAACCAGTTAAAATAGTGCTTTAATATCTATACAATAAATTAGTGATATGACTGATATGTTGCTCCAGTTTTTAAAATATATATTTTTTATGCACATTCAGTTCACACTTTTTTCTCATTTCAGGTAAATAGTTCAGGAAGGTATTTGCAACTTGAGATATCTTTTTCTATTAGCTTTATTTTATGATTCAATTACTAATGGAATGGTTATAAAAACCTTTGATGGTACATATCAATACAACCATATACTATGAGTTGATAGCATCCTCAAATTTACAATAAAAAATCTATGATACAAATTGATTGGTCTAGTCTTCAGAGATTATGCTATTTAGATATTATATTATTTATAGGTAAAACTACAGTGCTTTTAAAGAAAAATATGGTGTATGCATATATATATTAAAATAGCATTATAATAATGTACTATAGAGGCCTTAGATTCCTAGACCTCACTCAGCTCACAGAAACAAAGGAAGATCCAAGTCCAAATTCAAATGGAAATGGAAATTCCACTTTACCAAATTTCACGCCACTGAGGGTTGCCTTGTATCAAAAGCTTCAAAATTACTTGTGGGAATGATCTTAAACTTTCTCTTCTTCTATTTTGCAACCAAAGAAACCTGTTTGTTTAAACCTATCATGCCTTACAGTTCACCCACTTTGGAAAATGGTGTTGCAGCTGAGAATTTGGATAAACATTTCTGAGCTGCAGAGTATACATTCAGAGAACACCGCTGTGGATACGGAGACCAAGAGTGAGTGGGGCCACATCATAACTGTAGAAATGGAGAGGGACAGGACGAGACCACTGGATATACTGGTTTTGTTTCACCAGTAACATGGGGTATAATTCACCCACTGAAAATATGCATACCACAAACATGTTTCAAAAAGTAATTGGTTCCACAAAAAAGATCCTCAAAAATACAAATATTAAAGTGTGTTTTTCTTTTCCCTTTCAATCCCCCTCTTTCCCTCAATCTAGGAATATATGATAAATACACTGATTTCATATGTCTATCCTCTATGCTACTTCTAGTTGAACTGCTTCTTTTTCTGGACTTGTGTATGTTTCCATGTTTTTGTGGCTAACAAATTAGTCCCACTCTATAGCCTCAAGGTGAAACTCTATGAAGTCTCCCAATCTTTCTGTCACCTTTTCTTGTGGCATTTTTCCCGTCTGTCTAGAAAGTAACCCTCATATTTTACATTCATTTTAACCCTCCAGGTAGGAATCTTTCTTGATGTCTGCAAAATACCCAGGCGAGCTTTGTGATAATGAGACTGGCATAGAGCACTACACGGCTACAAACCAAGAACATCAGAAACTTCTCCCATATGTGCCAAACACATGGCCTGGGTTCAAGGATTCATTGTTAAGTAAATATTTGGGAATTTTGCAGTTGGGCTCTATCCATGATGAATAAAGGCTAGGCAATGCCCCTTATACTAGCAGGGATAGAACTTCCCTAACATAGTAATTATTGTGCTAAGTCTTTTCTTCGGGTCCCAAAGCATGCATCAGCTGTTTCACTTCTTTCTTCAAGGCAGAACACTGAAACAGGGTTTCTTCCTCTCCATGTCGGGATCTTTTCATTCATCACTTTTCACCATGAAGAAAAGTGATGGGGCTGCAAAGTAGCCAAGTGCCCTTTGAATTGTGAAAGAAATATTGAGATGTTAGACCTTTATGTTCTTCTGACATGTAAAGTCTCGTCTTTTGGGGAGACAGTAGGACTCAGTTGAAATAGTGGATTCAGGTCATAGTTTCTTTTCCTTTACATAACTTAAAAAAAAAAAAAAGGTCTTTCACAACCATACTTTTAACAAGCTAATTTAGATTTCATCTCTTGCTGAAATTCTTCTCCAGCCAACACCGGACTTCTTGAAGGTTGTAGCAGAAGGGGCCCTTTCCTCCCAGATAAGCAATTTTCTGTCTCTGCACAATACACACACGTTCAAAGGCTACCCCGTAAGCTACATTGGCATTATTGTCCATGCGGTCAGCCACAACTTGGCACTGGGGCGGCAAGGAGAAACGCTCCAGGAGCTGCTGGGCTGCGGCACATCGGTCTTCCTGGTTCCGGTGCTTCTTTACCTCAAAAGACAGAGAAGGCACCGCCCAGCCATCTGAAGGATGAGCCTCATCAATGTAGACCAAGAGAAAGTCAGCCACTGATGAGAACTCGTCCACCAGTGTGCGGAAGGCTGGCAGCTGGCTAGTAAAAGGAGGTCAAGTGGCTGAGCCAAAGTTGACCACCAGTGGGCGCTCCGGGTGGGCAAAGTCAAGAAGGTGGCACTCGGCTCCATCAGTTACCTTCTCCTGGGCACCACTGCCACTGTTGTCACCTCCTTCACGACTGGATACATGCACCACACTGGAATTGGGGGCATCTTCACCCAGTTTCACCTGGTGGTGAAAAAAATTTTTAAAAAGAGGGAAAAAAATACCATATTAAACACATGGTCTCTTCAGTTCACTCTATCTAAAAAGAATTAGCTCTAATAAAATGTGGTATTTCCTTCAGAGGGTGTGGTAAACATATACTGAATGAAGAGGCATGATGGTACATAATATAAAGAATGGTCCTAAAGAGAACAAGGTCTTTCTGTTCTGTACAGTCACTGAAAGTAATTATTTTCATCATTACAGGCACAGCAGTTAACCTTTCCTAATTACACTGAGTCTGATACTCTGCTATCCTTGTAGGCTGTCAGTACTTAGCACACATCATATAACAAATGATCAACTGGCTTCATTTTCAAAGTTAAAAGTGGATGGCCTACTTTAAGAAAAATGATCAGAGTCATGGGGCGCAGGTACCTCTTTCTGAATTCCCACTTTGAATTCTGAATATGTAGGAAAGACCCTTATTTTCTTAGCATGATGCTAAGTCATTGAATTTCAACCAATGAACAATGATACCCATGGGCTCTATTCTTGGTCAGAGCTAGAAAACCTGGCGTCCACCACTTTAGAGAAGGGCTACTCCCATTTCGCCTCTTTAGTACTTCAACCATAACTATCTGTAAAACAGTAATAATAATGCCTGTATTCCTCAAACATTTTTGGAGGCTAACAGGAGGAAAAGAACTCTTTGTATACTACGAATCACTGTGTGGGTATAGGCTGCCATTATTAGCAACATGAGAAACAGAACACTATCTGTTCTGTGCAACTCTACGTTTAAAAAGCTTATCCCTAGAAGTGATTTGAGCTCTCCTTAGTATAATCCTCCCTGGAGGTTTCCACAGCTATGGCTTACTTTGGGGTTCTTATGCCTAGAACCTCACCATGTCTATCAAACAAACATCTGAACAAAAATATACAATTATTCCAGAATTCTACCCTTAATTTCTCATTTGTCATGTGTTGTTCTGTTTGCTTCACACTTTTTGTCTAGGAAGTCACAAACCATTTACTTTTCTACCATGCATTTTACTAACAAACTCCTCTGAATTATAAAATACTTAGGCAGAAGAGGTCCAGAAGTAAATTGTGTTATATGCCTCCCTTGCATGGGTTTAAATAGTTGAACACAGACTGAAAGAAAGTTTGCTGGCCTTTGTATCTGTAAATTGATAATAAAAGCAGGCAACATAAAAGAACCAATTACTTTGCTTTGAATTAACACAACTGGATCTTCCCCTAGAATGGTTTAATCAAAGCCAATAACATTAGGGGCAACCTACGACAGTACGATTGATTTTTATACACTATCCTTAATATTACAAAACACTTCCAAGTGGAATGACTGATTCCCCTCATATAAATACAGCCACGTATACCACTGCTGTTAATTGAAGTCACTTAGAAGTGAATAGTTAAAGACTCAACAATCCAAACTGATACAAAACACCCAAGGGCTTTTATTCAGAAACTTCTAATGTTAATGCATATTTCATTTTAACTGGAGAAAAAGAATTACAGAAGTCTTTTCTTTTCCTTCTGAAAAATCCTAGCAGGGCAGGCTTTAAACAAGTAGTATCAGTTTTCTAAAAGAAATCTTAACATGTTAATCTTCTTCTTAGAAAAGGAAACTGTTGGTGTGATTAAAGTAAGTATATTTGTCTTCAGCTACCATCAGGGTAGAAGTTATTTTATTTATATTAATTTTCTTGGTTAATTTGAGTGATACTAGATGGAGAAACCTAATAATCCAATTTTAGCTGGATTATTTTATAGTAGTTACACTTGTCTCTGAAGTATTAAAATGTACCTAAAATTTAAAGGTATGCATATGATAAAAATTTAATCTATGTGTCCTTTTTGTACTTCTTTGTAGGTTTAGGTGGGGGTTTGGCACACCTATCACCTTCTTGTTAGATCTTTCCCACTTAATACAGCAAGAACAATTAACAGGGTCACTGTGCTATATTCAACATAGTGTGATATAAAGATCTGAATGAATTGAGATTAGTCGAAATCCACCAGTTGTAGCTACTTCTTGTTAAGTGAGCGACCCTTACACAGGAGAAAAATCACTGCTGGACCACAGACCTGCAGGTTCTGGGGTGACGAAAACATCCATCAGCTTTTTGGAATCATTATTAAGACCTACAGACAATTGTGTGGTCTCGTTAAATAGGTCTCCCATGCGCCTGACTCTCACCCAGGCAGAACTGTTGATCCTTGCATTATTCCTGCTTATTCAACTGAATAATCTAATTCAATCCTTTGGTCACAGGGACTCTCTTGTTACCTGTAGTTAATTTTCTTGGAAAGTTAAAGCACCTTCCTCTTCTTAGTTATAGTGTATAGTTCAGCCACATAAGCTTTTTCCAAAAGACAGACTAGTTTACCTTAGAAAATTTAGAACAACTACAACATCTTCACTGTAAAATTAAAAATTAGAAAGGCTACCACATATATGATTATCTTTATATGTGGGCTTTGGCATTTTGAACGAACTATTGAGTGAATGATAGTTATCCTCATTGGCAGGGGGTCAGTGAAGAATTTTACATTTAATAACCTTGATCTGCAATGAACTAATCATATTTGGGTGATGGATATGCTCACTGAAGTAAGTATTTTAGAAATGTGGATCCTAGACCCCTCCTGTAGAGTTCTGCCATAACCAGTGCCAAATGCTGTTGATCTGTTCTTCATCATCTCAGCTGGTCAGTGCATAAAATCAAAGCAGCCAACCCTCTATTTTGTTGAGCAGCCATGGGACCCTACTGCACACTAAAATGTCATAAGCAGATATGTTCATGAGGGTGACCAGGTAAGAGAAAATGTATAGGTACGATCAATGCTCTTAATAAAACTATGAAAGAAACACACACACCCACACACACCCATGATTTGTAAGACCAAGTGTGAGTAGACCAATAGTCTGCTCTTACAAGCATCATATACTAATCATAGAATTTGTCATCTCTGCTGAAACCTGCTGATATAGAACAATGCAGAAACAATAAAGAAAAAAACTTTAGAAATTTTAAAAATCAAAAGTTTGCTTCAAACTAAAAAAAAAACACATCTTTTGGACAGACATCATTGTTCATTTCTCATCTTCCCATTTGATCACCAGGAAAATGAAATTCCTATTATGACCAGGGTTTCAAATGGAGAATTCCTTGATTTGCTTGGTTATGAACCCTGCTGAGACACAGTGGGAAAGATCACCATTGTCTTCAATGACAGAAGATTCTTTGCTTACCCCAGGAGCAAAGCATTCCTTCAAAAAAAGCCAAAATGGTGAAGAAGTTGGTCTCCTAATAACAGTGAGGCTGCAGGAAAGCAGCTCAATGAAAACAAGCCGTCCCCTGGTATTCCCGAACTTTGTTTTAATTTCCCACAGTGGCACAGAAAGTCTCCTGGCCACAAGTTATCTATCATCTTAATTTCTCCTTCTTGGAGGGTTTGTGTTTGGTTTTTGGCCTTAATGAGACATATTTGCCAAAGAGGCATTCAAAAGGCATTTTTTACTCTTGCGGAACAGTAATTAGGTCGGTACCTCTTTCCTTGCCAGCATGAGCTGCTCTGAAGAGAGCCCTGCCCAGTATTTAATGCTCAAACACAAGAGGCATCATTTCCACTAATTGCTCTTGAAGTTCCGATGTTCCCAAAGGGTCTCTTTATTTTGCAAGGATCAGACAGGACACATGCAGAATATAGTATTGCCATCACTGACTTTTATCTCTTTCATCGGTTTTCATACAGTCATTCTTTCTTCCGCTTTTGAAATCAACATCAACGCAACACCAACAGGGGAGGTGAACAAAGGGTTTGCATTTTTACAACATGGAATATCTCTGGGTGGAGCTCAAATATTGTGATAGCTATATTTGCAAATATGAAAGAGAGTGCAAATATGTGGTATTTATATAAACTTGATTCCCTTGACGATGGGATAACTTTTGCTGAACGTGTTCTATCTGTGGGGAAAAGGATAATCGTGTTTTAGCATGTGGACTGGGAAATAAAGAGCGGGGAAAAAGAAGAAAGAACTTTCATCAAGTAGAACCTAGAAACAGAGCATATGCTACTGACCTTGTTTTTCGTTTTTGTGTTTTCTTTTCCACAGCCTGAGAAAGGTTCTCGACAAAATATCCCCTAATCTCATGATCGAAAGTAAAGCAAATGATAAAAATGGGGGTGGGTGGCAGAATAATTTTTACACATCCTTCTTGTTATCAAAAGCCCTGGAGTGGCTTTATTAACTATCAGGACATTTTCAAATTCTTGGACGTAACAACCAGGCTCCATCAATGTCCCCAATGTGGCCAATTATTAAGCAGTGGTTTAACCATTTACATCCAAACTGCACAAATAAATCAGACTTAAAGAATAAGCTACCTACCCTTTGCTCTGAGTTCAGTTTCCCTTTGGCCATTCTGTTTTGGATTAGTACCTTGAAAGTACAGCTCTAAGCTCTATCCTTCCCAGCATTTTATCCAAGTGATGGACAAGCTGTGGCTTGGCCTTTTTTGTGTTCTTTTGGGAATGTTTCTCTCTTAAAAGAGCCATGTTCTATTGTAGAAACTAGTGTCAAAAGGCTTGAGGTGAATGAAGAGGAGGAAGAGAATGTTAAAGAGACTCTTTTCAAACCAAAATTATATGTTCAAATGAATGTTTTCTGTGCCACTGCAATACTAAGTGTGTAGAAGCTAAACTGCTTGTCAGCGTCTATAGTGTGTGTTTACTTTTGCACTTCATTTAGGTAGGAGCCAGGCCCCCAGACAGGGCAGTTGGCTTATTGGTTGCATTTTTGAGCCTTGGAGCACCAGCACAAGGATGCAGTGTTAGATGCAATGACACTTACGAGGGAAACTTAAAATTACAAATATCTGTTATTCACCTCAGTCTTTCCACAAGTCTGTGTAGATGTTCTTTTTTCATCAAAACTATGCATGGAACTCCCTCTAACCAAATCCAAATTATGTTCAAAAGCTTTCCTATCAAGTTAA